GTGTAGATTTTAAATTGTTCAAATCATGACCCCCTGGGATAGGGTGGAGCAACAATACATATTACAAGGGGAAAATCTGATAAAGAACAGTAGGGCCAAAGTTATTCAGGTGAGCATTTTGGCCCATGGGCCTCTTGTAAGCTCACCTGGGCCGAAAGTTCAAGTGAACTTTTCTGACTGAGGTATCTGGCATCTGTTTATTATGTGTTGTCTGTAAACTTTTTCACATTTTCGACTTCTCCAGAACCACTCTGCCAGTTTCAACAAAGCTTGCCACAAAGCATCCTTTGGTAAGGGGGTTTTAAGTTAGTTCAATTCAAAGGCCACACCCTGTTTCAAGGGGAGATAACTAAGAATTAACGTATATACTTGCCTTTAAATCAGATTTTTGGGAGTAGATTCAGGCAAAAAAGTACAAACTTATAAGTGGGTCAATGGGAAATTCCTTCAATATATTAGGCTCAAAAATAGGCGAGTATATGAGGTAGTGAAAATTTAATGGCATCCTTTAAAAATCTCAACAACCACTGGGTCAGAAAAGATGAAACTTATTTGAAAGCTTTATTACATAGTGTAAATTCAAGTTTGTTCAAATCATGACCCCCGGGCTAGAGTATGGCCACAATGGGTGATCAAAGAAAAATCTTCTCAAGAACAGCCAAGCCATAGTTAGTATATTTATTTGGAAGCATCCTCAGGTAGTGCAGATTCAAGTTTGTTCAAATCATGACCCCAGGGTAGGGCGGGGCTACAATGGACGATCAAAGTTTAACATTAGGAATGTTAGGACCCCCCTCCAAAGGTGCTTGAAGACCCCCCCCCCCTCCCCATCAACACCACCAATTCGAAAATTACGTAAAACAAACAATTTATAAAAAATCTATCCCATTCCTTTTATTCTTATACACCTTTAACAACCCTTTCTACTAAAGGGGCTAGTTTTACAAAATTTTTAAGAACCTATGACATGTATGACTAAGACCAAAAACTTAAGTTAATTAATTGATATTAAAATCCTGCAAAATCATTTATTTCTGTTAATTGCTTGTATAAGAAATATCTTTCTAAGTTCTTTTAAAAAAAGATTTAAACTTTTTCAAATTAATGCAAAAATAGAAATATTATTCGGAAAATAACATTTTGGTCTTTTATATATATATATATATATATATATATATATATATATATATATATATATATATATATATATATATGTATGTATGTATGTATGTATGTATTGGTCTTATTTTGGTCTTAAATCTTGTACGTGAAAAGAAGAAAACACTTGCTGTGGCCTTCAACTCGACATTTAGATATATCGATGACGTATTGTCAATTAACAAAGGCTATTTCCATTCTTATGTCGATACGATATATCCTTGTGAACTTGAGATATAAGATACCACAGAGTCTGATACATCTGTTTCATATTTGGATATTTTACTTGAAAAAGACGTTAATGGTAATCTAACAACCAAGCTTTATGATAAACGTGATGACTTTAACTTTTCAATCGTCAACTTCCCTTACTTATGCAGCAATATACCTTCATCACCTGCATACGGGGTATATATCTCTCAGTTGATTCGATACGCAAGAGCATGCTCTACGTATGTACAATTTCTAAAACGAGGTAAATTCCCAAGTGAAAATCCTCAAACAAATCACTTTAAGAAATCACTAATGAATCAGTGATTTGAAGATGATTTGTAAGTGATGCAAATTCCCATGCAAATGAGCTAACAAATCACTCCTAACAAATTGTAAGCAAATCACCTTTTTATTTCTGAAATGTAGATGCACATAATGCAAACAAATCACAACCAAATCACTCTGAATAAATTGTTTACAAATCAGTTCTGTTTAACAAATCACAACCAAATCACTTTGAATAAATTGCAAACAAATCATGAATAAATTGCAAACAAATCATTTCAAATAAATTGTGTACAAATCACTTCAGTTTAACAAATCACTATCAAATCACTTCAGGTGGATACACACTTGTATGCATGATGCTCAACCATCCCTCAAATATTCACTTGAAACACATGCATATTGTTATAATTAAGAATAAACTTTTGGCAACAGCATTTTCATTCTGTGCATTGAAAATATACACATTTACTGGGATGTATCCTCATCAAGATGGCATCATGTACTTCAGAATGATACAGATGGTTTCAAAGGAAAATTATATAGGTGTAATTGGCATCGTGTACTTCAGATATAGTTGGTTTCAAATTTGGAAGATTACAGGCGTTAATTTTTGTTTTAGAAGTTGGTAAATGTATTTTCCTGAAATAAATATTTGTCTGGACACTGTGAACAAGCCACTTTGCTGAAGCTTATAGCTTTATAGCGAGCGCAGCGAGCGGCGCTAAGCGCCGCTCGTCACTGCGAGCTCTTGAAGCAACGCCTGGGCGACGAGAAAATTCGGACTTTACACATTGATCCAAATGAATTTTTTTCCGCAGTTACCTGTGGTCCCATAATGCTTAGCGAATTGCATCTCGTCGCAAACAACGTTCTCGCGGTAGCAACAAAAACTCGACAAAAAATAAAATAACCTTGATATAATGGATAAAAAGCAGATAAATAGTAGATCAAACGTTCTTGATTAAAATTAGCACTGTTCAGACTTCGTTTTGGTAATGCAACATACATACGACGTCATATGACGTCAGAGTCTAGACGTAGCAAGTGTCACGTGCTGTTTGACGAGCCCGATCTAAATTAAAACTGAAAGGTATCTGCGCTCGCCCTAACGGTTGCACCGCCAACATATTATAGATTTTATTTTAAACATTTATTGGTGGCGACTTTGTTGTTGTTAGAAATATTAACATGTTAATCATGGTAATAAACTCATGAAGTATTGTCATTTCTAAGGAGGAAATGATAGCATAATACAATAATACATACCTTAAAAACTATACGCTGCAGGGTTATGGCATAAACATCAGTTTAAACAAAAGAAGAGAGGTATGAATCTAGAACGGCACAATCTAGCTCCTATCATTTCAATTCAAATCTGATGAATGAAAATTGGCGGTAGAGTTTCTTAACTGTCCAATCAACAAGATCGGCGGAAGTAATGAAGTAAATCATTATCAAATCACTCTCAAGAAGGACCATGAGTTCAACAAATCATTAACAAATCACTCTCAAGAAAGACTAAGTTCCAGAAATCATTTTCAAATCACCTTGAAGAAAGTCTAAGTTCAACAGATCATGAAGAAATCACTGTAGCAATTTCCTAAGTTTAACAAATCACTAAGAAATTGTATGAAATGTGAAAGAAATCACAAACAAATCACTCTTTTGTAACAAATTGTAAACAAATCATAGTCATCATTTTGGTAGAAAATGATTCATTCATGATTTGTTAGATGAATTGCTTACAAATCACTGAAACAAATCACTTTTAATTGATTTTTGGGCAATTTGTAGGCAATTTGTTAATGATTTGTTTGAGAAAATTTTCACTTGGGTTATTGACAAATAAGTTGATGAAACAAGAATATCAGCTGTCTCGTTTAAAGTCATCATTTCGTAAGTTCTATGGTCGATACAATGCATATGGAGAAATGGTGTTCATTTTGCTGATTTGCATATCGGCCATTTTGTAACTATAATGGCGGCCAAATTTATAAAGGTTTATATAGAGAAAATACAAAAATTGCAAATTTTTATATCCTAACTATTTCGGATAAAGTTCTTCCGCCGATGATTTGATTCTTCTTAATATCTTCTACCGGAAATGACAAGATTGTTGATACCAAAGTGAAAGTTGCAACCGCCTTTTAGATTTGAAATTCCGAAACGAGAGTATAATGTTTTAATGAAGGAAAGAACACAGAATTGGTGTCTTTATCATTTTTGGTGATTAAATGTAAGTGTTTATTGTAAGTTGACAGAGTTCTTCCGCTGATTAATAGGTGCAGACGAATGCCTATTTTTATAAAATACAGATGATTTATCATTTCATGAAGAGTTACGACCGCCTTTTTAATTTGAAAACGGCAATTTCTTGAATCAGTGTGACCTACTTATTACCAAAGAAAGATGGTTTCATGAGTTGCCAACTGTTAATAACCCCAAACTCTGCCCAAATAATTATGACGGAGTCTTAAAAAACAAAACAAACTGTGCTTGCAGGTTTTAATTCAAAAATTTAAAGAAATGGAATATTTCGAGTTTATGAAGGATCTTATAAACATTAACATGATTAATGAGAAGTAAATCACGTGGGAGCAACCTCATGAATAAACTGTACATCATTTCTCCATATGGACCTTGTCAGCAAATACAATTTATCATTGAGTCAAATGCTGACTGACGTTTTTCACACTAATTGTTAGGCCATTATTTACTCACTGAATTGTCGACGGATTTTTCCGTTATTTCCCGATCATGACAAGGAGCACACGGCGGGTGTGACCGGTCGGCAGGGGATGCTCACTCCTCCATGGCACCTATGATCCCACCTCTGATGTTTGGAGGTCCGTGTTTGCTCTGCTCCTATTTTGTATTGATTAATGGACTTTTGAGCTTGAATACTGTTCGTTATCTCCATATATTTCATTAGTCATAAGTTCTTTTGTAAAACCGGGCTCTGATTCTGCAGTTAGAGTGATCTTCCCTTAGATCTAAATTCAAATAAATTGAACTTTTAAAATTTTGTAAGTCCAAGATAAATTAATTGAACACGTAATTTACACATACATGTAGTTTCTCCACGAAAGTAAACAACAGTGATCGATTTACTTGGTTGTGTTTGAATAATTTTCCCGGGGGTAAATGCCACGTACCATATGTTGAAAATTAAATAGATAAGCTCAATATTTACACATTTATTCAATTTAATTTTCTCAATGTTTAAAAAAAAGCATTTTGCACTGGTATATAAGCAGTCAATATCGCCTTCATCTTTTTTTTCGGAATCCAGTGTGTCGATCGGATAGACCTTCTTCTTTTAGTTGCAATCTACGCATGCGTCAATTGATTTACTTCCTGTTGACATTCGCTACAGTTTAAGTTTTTGAAAACAAGAAAGAACATGTGATCTCTGATGTTGTAGATTCATATTTATTCCACGGATAACGTCTTTTATGGTAAGAATTGTTTAAGTTATCAATTTCAACAAATATGGATTGTTTTCCCTGGATTATGAACGTTTACAGTTAGTGAATTTACGGGTCTGTGCTTGTTGTGTTGGTTCAAATTCAACTCCATTCTTCTTGAGCAAGATAAATTTGATTTTCAAATAAATATGCAGAATTTATGCAACCTGGATTTGATTTCATATTCTAAAGTTATGCCATGTACATCATGAGATACGTCACGAGCAATATTTTCTAAAAGAGATCAAATTTGAAATAGGTGAACGTGGCAAAAGTTGATCATAAAATTGACACTTAGGCCTATGATTTTCATTGCATGATATATAACCCTTTTTATTTTCTTGCATGATATAATTTATTTTTCTCATTCATTTGTTTTTATGTAAACTTTCAGAATGCTTTAAGAATTTGTTCACTGAAATTGACATTTTATGCCAATAATTTTACTTTCAAACAAGAGACAAATCAGTTTTGTAGGGCAGCATGACATAAAATTGAATTTTTCATTCCTTGAATTATAAATAGCATCTTATCTCAGTGTTTTTTTGTTTTTTTTTTATAGATACAACAGGCATTTATCACATAGACACAGACTAAATATGGCTTTACCATCCATGCCGCACTATTGGACAACCAGAAGAAATGTTTATGAGCAGGCAATTGTTAGACATAGAAACCATGACGACCACTTACGAGAAAGATGGAGTAACACAGCAAATTACTTCCAGAAATCAAACATAGCAGCCACAAAACAGAGCGCATGGGAGTCAGAGAAATCTCTGAAGTCCAGGTATAGGTCAGGCCCACTTATCTCAGACCAGCAGCTTACTGTGAAATCATTAATTTTTGGGGGGTTTAATATTCATTGTTTTTGAGGAATGAAAAGACCAACAAATTCATGTCCACCACCAAATGTAAAATGTCATATACATAACTACTCAACAATTCTTCATCATCCAGGAAATGAAATCCCCATGAACCCATAGTTTTTCCTCAAACCACAAAAATTTGACATAAAAAAAAATGAGATTTTACAGTATTGTGTAGAGTCAATTATGCATTATATTTTTCAGCATGGATGCTTATCAGAGAGAAAAAGACTCAGATAAAAAGGCAAAGAAATTAGCCCTACGCAGAGAGAAGCTGTCTGCCATGCTAAGACAAGAAAGATACAAGTTCGAGGTAAGTAGTTATCTATAATTAGCACAAAACCTGAATGTGCTGCTGGCACCACTTTTACCAAAAATTTAAATTATGCATTGAACTTCTCTGTAATTAATGATAAAAGTAATGAATTACGTCACTGTATAATGGTAACTGATTTTGTCAAATGAAATTATTTCATATAATTAGGAAATAAAGACTGAAGGAATGAACAGAGTAAAACCATTTTCTCCTGTGTTCTGCCTTGTACATGTTATAAGCATTTATTTTTTGCCAGGCTGAGTTAAAGGGATATTCCTTGGACAATTATGATCGCCTGGAAGACATGAAAGACCGAGTTGACTCTCTAAAGAGTGCTCGGGAAGAAAAAAGGAAACATGTAAGACAGCTCTGATTGAATTAAGATGAACATTATATGTAACTAAGCATAAAGGTTATATATTATACATTATATGTGTAATGAGTATCTAAGATGAACATTATATATTACTGAGTATAAAGGTTATATATTATACATTATATATGTACTGAGTATATAAGTTTTCATGCACTGTATATAAAATACTGTAATAAGAAAATGGTAAAGAGGTCAGTCATTTATCTATTTTTACTGTGAACAGGTAAATATTTGTATGGGATTAATTTACACAAAGTACACAAGTATATGTAATTTCCACAAGTACTTCCCTTCTACATACATGTACAATGTCTTTTAATAGATACTTGGTATGTATTTTTTTTTGAAACATTTTAAGAACATCATGTGTGATTCGCAGAAATAATCATTACACATACAGTTTATGTTGATAATTCCTGTAATTCACAAAATACACAAATATCCACAGGTATAAAAAAATGAATGTTACTAATAACGGATTGATATTTGATGATTTTCACAGTTGGCTGAGGAGAAGCTGTATGAACACTGGAAACAAAACAACCCAGATATCAGAAGGGTAAGTTAATATGATACTGTAAACAATACAACCCAGATATAATGTTAACAAATTGTGAAAAGAAAAAAAAAACAGATATCAAAAACATAAGTAATACAGTCACTGCATAATAGATTAATTTATGTAGAACTTTATGATTTTATTTAGTAAAAGCCTGATATTTCAAAAAAAAAAAGTGACTTGGAAACACCTACATTTAAACTGATCCACATGTTCTGGATTGCAAAGTTGAAACAAAGCTGAAACTCTAATAGGTCATGACCACAGACTCACTTTGGAAAATCCTTGAATTCTAAATGAAAAATGTTTGAGAAACTCAAACACACCTTTATTAAGCTTCTACTGCCATCTAGAAGGAAAAATGATAGATACAAAACATTCTGTGTATTTTTTTTTTTACATAGTCATCCTATGGTTATACATGATTACATTAAAACAGAGATTTTGTATATTTGACAGCTTGAGTCTGAACAGCTGAAGGATCATGTGGTAGACAGATGGGGATCTCAAGTCGAGGAATTCAGAGAGGTAATAGATAGGTAATCAAATAGTCCTAGGTGGGGGTCTCAAGTGGGAGAAGTCAGAGTGGTAATAATTAGCATAGGGGGGTCTGAAGGGGCAGTTAGATAGGTCATCAAATAGCTATAGGTGGGGTCTGTAGGGGCAGTTAGAAAGGTCATCAAATAGCCCAAGGTGGGGGTTTCAAGTGGGAGAAGTCAGAGAGGTAATTAGTAGCATAGGGGGGTCTGAGGGGGCAGTTAGATAGGTAATCAAATAGCCATAGGTTTTGGGGTGAAGGGCTGAAGTGGAGGTAAGATAAGTATTGCGGTCAGATATGTAATAGGGACTTAAAAGGCCATTACATGGAGAAAGGTACATGTATTATTTATAAAAAGGATCTAAGGGGCTCTTAGTAAAGTTTTTAAGTTGAGGATGTTTGGTCACACAAAATACTTACAAGTCTAGAGGGAATGAAGGTGTGCTTCGAAGGTCTGAGGGGCAAGTATCTGTAAAAGAACAATCAATATAATGCTCTCTAGGTTTTTGTTCATGTGGATGAGAAGAAACTTTGCTAATAAAATGTATTATCATTTTTCTTTGATTAAATATTTGGTCAAGTTTAAATAATTATATTTGTTTTGCAGAAAGAAGAACAGGAAAGAATTGAGAAAGAAAAGTTTGAGAGAGAGATGGAGAAAGAAAGAATAGCAGCCCTGGAGTTGGAGAGACAGAAGGAAGAAGAGAGATTAGAGGAGGAGAAGAAATGGAAGGACGTACTGAGAGATCAGATGCTGGAACTCCGCGAGCGAGAAGCTGAGGTCAGATACTAGAACTCTAACAAAAGTATAGCCTAAAAAAACTGAAAAAGTGACCAGCTGAGGTCAGATAGAAAAACACACACAAATCACACCTTAAAATTCACTGTCATGTTCATCGTTTGATTGTTAGTTGTCACCATTAGATTGTGTTACAGTTCAAAGATTGTGTACTGTTTGGCTGCGTAGTAGTCAATGATTATTTTTTTTGTGTATTAAATATTTGTGATTGTTCTACAGTAGCAGATTATTCACTGTTTGGTTTTGTTGCCATAGCCAGTATGTGTTATATTTTGTTGTATTGTCTTTATTGTACAGGCCAGCAGACTGAAGAAGGAACAAGATTCTCTACAGAAAGAACAGTGGAGGCTGGAGGAGTTAGAAGAGGAACGTAAAAAGATGGAGGCAGGCCGCCGTCACAGAGAAATGGGGTAAGTTCTTAATTATCACAACTGTCAGATAGGTTTTCATCATTCTGTAGTCTTCATTGTGATATTATGGTAGTTTGTTATCAACAATATAAAGAAGCTGATATCAGTCAGATGTACCAGTACATAAATGTTAAATTGGTTCTTTAATGTTCACCACTGGTTCTTTCTTACAGTCGAATGCTATTGAGGCAACACAAAGCCCAGATGATGAGACGGTCCAGACAAATTCAGGAGGAGCTGGTAATGAAAATCTCTTTATGTCTTCAAAGTTTGCCTTTGAAAAAAAATTATTTTTGTTTGTTAAAGTAATTTTTACCACATAACAAGCAAAGTAAACATTGTCTAAAAAAAATTGAATTTTTTTACAGAGAGAAGAAAAAAAAAATGTTTTTTAATTTTTTTTATTTTACCATTGGTTATTTTATGTTCTTTAGGAACAAGATAAGCAGATGTTAGAGGCTCTTATTGAGAGGGAGAAAGTGGAACGAGAAATTCTCACCACGCGGAGAGAAAAAGCCCAGGCTGACGCGGCCTGGATGAAGCAGGTGATGATCACACAGCAATATAATGATTATATAATATGTGTAATAAGTTAACTGTCTAGAGTTAGATATTTTGTTCCTTGTTGTAATATATTATGTATCTTTTAACAGGTTATTGAAGATCAGTTACGAGTAGAAAAGGCCAGAGAAGCTGAACTTGACATGTTGTACCAGTAAGTGTCTTTTTTATTAAATAATTAGAAGATGTCCATGCAGTTTTCTTTGGAATCTCTTTTCCATCGCTATAAAATTTATTGCATAACAAGTAAACATCTTGTAAAAGAATGTTGTCTTCCAAACATTTTTTTTTTTAATTTTGTCATAAAGAACTAGCTATGAAATTTCCTCTTTGAAAATATGTTCAGTATCATTTCTCAGTATTAGTTCGCTATAAAGAATCTCTCTCTCTCTCTCTCTCTCTAGTAATATTGATTTCTTGTGTGTGCTTGTATATTTATATATTAAATATGCCCTTGGCCCAATGTATAACATTAACATAGGGTCTAAAGAGCTTTTTGTCCTGTCTGGGAAAATCAAAAAATGTTTCGGTACAACAAGGATGCATTGTATGAAAGAAATATGGAAAGGTCAATGTTATAGTGTAGTACAGGAATAAAATCATTCAAATCATAGCCACAAGTTTTATTATTTACCGAGTTATTCTTCAGGGAAAACAGAGCATTGTAAGGCAAAGTCCATGCATTGTTGAAACTGTGTAAAGAATACTTTGTATTTAAATGATAATTTATTTTCTGATTTCAGAGAGGAAGCAGCTCGTATGTGGGAAAAGAGGGACGCAGAATGGGCGCGTGAGAGTAAGGCCAGAGAGAGGCTAATGAGGGAGGTCAGTATCGGTGTCCACAATTTATTAGAAAATTCTCTACTTTCTGTTCATATTCAAGTTCGTGTATGATATGCATACGTTTTATCTGTAGGTGTTTAAGCAGTATCCATACATTTCATCTGTAGGTGTTTAAGCAGTTTCCATACATTTTTATTACCTGTAGGTGTTTAAAGACAGACAGCGACAGATTGAGGAGAAGCTGGAGGAGGTGCAGCGAGAACGGGAGGAGTCTCTGTATCAGCGGGAGAAACTGATAGAAGAGATGGAGATAGCCAATCAGATGACACAGCGTGATCTCGAAAAAGCTGAGGAACAGAAAGAGGCTTTGAAACTGGATCTCAAAGGACAGGTTAGTAATTCTGTTCTCAAAAGTGGGACCCATGATATCAGAAAGACAGTGTACATGTATGTTTTCATATTTTCAGCTTTAGAAATAAATTTTCAAATACTTGTAAGTGTATGTTTGCTTGTAAATCAATGGTTATTTCCCTTTTGACAACAGATCACAGCACGTCATGAACAGAAGGAAACATCACGACAGAAGTTACAGGAGGAGGAGGAAAGGGAACGGCGGGAGGAACAGGAATACGAGGACTTCCTCCGACAGGAGACTGAGAGGATGAAAGTCCGAGGCTTCGCACCTAAGGTAAGTCACATCAACACTGGTGTGTAAAGTAGAAACCATTTTGTTTAACATCAGTAGCCTTAGTCTTCATTTAGTGAAGAAGTAAAATGGCCCTGTCCTCATATCAATTAATTGACTATCACCCTCTGTCCCATTTCATGTATCAAAATAAAGTAGAGACTTAGCACTGTCATTTCCCATCACAAATTTTTTTTTGAGAATTCAGGTATTGGAAAACAGGCTTGTGAAAATACAATATTCTTGAATTTTGCAGAAAACAGGCATATTTGACTACATTCAGCAAAAAATTAAAATAAGAGCACAGCCCTCGATCCAAAAATTAAAACGTTAACTTTTATGATCTTCAGAAACAGATCTTTCATTATGTAATTGCATATTTTGGATCAGAGGTTCTGCTCTGTATCAAATACTGAAAAAATACTCCAACTTTTGGCCTTTTTTTTAAAGGAATTTACAGGATATGATAAAAATGACTCATTTCATGACATCATAATGCATTTACTAGAGAGAAAATTACATCATGTGCCATAGATACACGGTCACCAAGGGTCCAAGTGATAAATACTGAGCAGTTTCAATTTTTCAGAAACTCACAGGGCCAAACAAGGCCCTAAGTGGCCCTTGCTCTATAACATCAGCAGTTTTTTTTATGGAAGATAAGGAAATGAGTCTTGAAAATTAAAATAAATTTTAAATTTATGAATAAATTGCAGTCTTCATTAACTGTAACAATGTTGAAATTCTCCCAAAGGAAGAAGCAAGTATTCTTTATTGTATTGTATTGGATGTTCTTTTTCAGAATTTTGGACGGAGGACTGCTTGGATGTAACAGGATCTGACTGAGAAGGTCTAGTTCTGACCAAGTTAGACTTCTCATGCTTTTATGTGATCCACACTGCCAGGAAAAAAAAACATGAAGTGCAGAAATTTTAATCTATTGTCACAGTTTCCTTCAGCCTAGCAGCTGCTGTGACTTATTTCTTGTTTATGTAATTTTCTTTATTGAATGGATTACCAAAGCCTGTAGTACAGACAACTGTTATGTATTCTCAAGAAGAATGTATGTAAATATGCGATTTATTTATGTGCTGAGAATTAAATGAAATGTAAATATTCATTCACATACTTTAGTGTTTTTCTTATTTTTAGTATACGTTTAAGGTAAAATAAAAACTAGACAAGTTCAAGAAGTTGAGGTTGTTATGCGCCTATATTTAACAAATATGTTTGTCTGTCTGTGCAATCTTCTCTAAACTATAAATTTGTAATGGAGAAACAGCTGCCACAAACAGCAGCTGCACTGTAGAAGTCTGTCTAGCTGTTGTTACATTCACCTATCCCTTTAATTAACAAGTAGAAGAAACAATAGCTTGAATATCTTTCAACTTACAAATTTCCTTTGTCAAGGCGAAAGCTTGAGATCATTCACTAGAGACACTGAGTGAGTTTACAAAAATGATATCCCCCCAACTCATTTAAGAAAAATATTGGCATCCAACATTTCTCTTGCAAAGTAATGGACCAAACACAGTTTATACACTTTTTTTCTGCCAGGGACCTTGAACTTTCCCAAATGGCCTTGGGTCAAGATCATGACACACCACCAGGTCTTAGTAATCTTTATTTTAAGACCAATGTTTCTCCATCAGGAAGAAATGGATAGGACTCTAATAATGGTTTTTCTGCCAGTGATGTTGAACCTGGACAAATGACAGTCAAGGTCATGACACATCCCTAGATCATAAACCTTCTCTGTGTCTAGCAGGAAATTCCAATTTTTCTCCATTACATGTGTGAAGTTGTGGTTCAGCGTTAAACAGTTAATACTTGGATAGATGATCTGAAGGACTGGGGCAAATACCACTTTATCTTTAAACATTATCCATAAATTCATTAGTTATGACAGTGGTGTTGCGCCTCAAGTTATTGAAGGAGCTTTTCAATGCACTCGTTTCATTGAATGAGATAAATAAAAAATGAAATCTTAATTATAAAAATAAATATTTTATTCCACTGTAAGAGAGATTCCATTACAGTAATAAGACTTGACTTAGTGCATTACCAAGCCCGACACTTGGAATTGATCATTGTTGCTTTCTTAAAAAAAAATTACCCTTCATAGAGAAGAAGAGTTGGAAGAACTGATCACTCATAGATGAGAATCTGATCACTCACAGATGAAAATAGATACATGTAATTTGTTGTTACATGTATGTTGATTTAGTTGTAGTTGGTGCATGCAAGTGATTTCATCATAGGTGCAAAGTTGACAATTTGGACATAGTTGGTTTGCTGGGGGTATATTGTCATTTGTCATTAGTTGGTATCATCACTGGTATGTAAATTAGGTCATCACTGGGATATGTTGGAGGAATTGGTCATCAGTTGGAATGTTGGTGATTTGGTTCTTTTCATCAACACAGATGAACACCTGGTCCTTTCCCTTTAGCACCTGTAAATTAAAATACATTTTATATCAGCCTGTTGTAAATTATGTTATTTGTATATTCCTTCATCAACATGGACACTGCCCAGGAAGAATGTACTCCCTACAATTGAACAATAAACACAGAAAATAACAGTCATCAAAGCAGTGTGTCCAACCTAGAACATGCCCCCCTCTCCTCCCCTCTCAGGCGGAAGGGGGGGGGGTTAGGTTGGATTCCATATATTTAAACTATTTAATACTGAACTGATGTCTGCTTTTCTCCAGCCAACATGCTTAGGTGAACAATGTAGCCCATAGGCCTCTAGTTCTTTATGTTCTTTATGCTTGTTATTTCATATCATCTAGGATATTTAGAAGTTTAAAGTTGGAGATGATGAAGTTTGACTGAATATAGAATAAATCTGATTCAGAAGCTTTGATATTGACCAGTGACTTGGTGATACAAAATTATCAAGGTGTCAAAATTACCAGTAAAATGAAGATGCCCTTGATATTACAGTGACTGTATAAGGCTGTTCCAGCGATTGCCAAAAATTTTAACTTGCCCAGCATGCTACTGAGGAAGGAGGCATATGTGGCTGTTCCAGTGACTGCCCCCACATTTTAACTTACCCAGCATGCTACTGAGGAAGGAGGCATATGTGGCTGTTCCAGTGACTGCCCCCACATTTTAACTTACCCAGCATGCTACTGAGGAAGGAGGCATATGTGGCTGTTCCAGTGACTGCCCCCACAGCTGCAGGGTTACTCCGGACTGTCTTGACATTGAAGCCATTAGGTCCCCATACCTCCACCTCCACAATATGCCAATCTGTTAACCTGCATGTGTAAAAGCAAGGTCTGTGTACAATATTTAAACATGTGTACAATAGCTCTTGTTAAATCTTAAAATTCATCACCAGTTAAAAATACAAATATGTTTATCAAGAAGTTGTATAAGCTTTTACCGCAAGACTGTGTAAGAGCTGAAAATATATGTACTGAGTGTGTGACACTATCAGAGCTGAAAACATATGTACTGAGTGTATGACACTATCAGAGCTGAAAACATATGTACTGAGTGTGTGACACTATCAAGTTTCTGCATACAGAGCCAGTAGCTTGTTACTATTAGACAAATTAAGAATGTTATCACACACATACTGAGGATCTGATACTATGGATCCAGTGACTTTGTCAAATCCAAGATTATGTGCTGCTATAGCTGCTGCTGCCATTGTGTTGACATTATTAGGAGCCAGGGGACACAACTCACGAACAGGTCCTATAATGTGTTCAAAAGGAAGAAACTCTATGTCATCAGTGGCATTTAAAAATGAGAAAAAGTGCTTATATAATATACCGTATAACGGGTATTTTCTGCCGTTGTCCAATTTTTGCGGAATTTTGCGGATAGGACAAATCCGCAAAAATTACAATCGCAAAATATTTTTCAATATTCATATAGATATTTTGTATATGCATTTATGATAAGTGGTGCGTGTGTCTGACAGGGTTCTCATTAACGCAAGAACCTGCGTACTGGACGCAGCAAAATTATTTGGAACGCAAGGTTTTTAAAAGAGATGCGTCCGCAGACTCATGAGTGGTCATATCCTCGTTAGCAAGAAAATTCGGGTGTCATCGAAATTCGAAGATTTTAGATGTTAGGATTTATCCAAAACATATTGAATCAGAAACTTCCTGTAAATAATATCATAAGTTGATACAAAAACATCTTTACTTGTACCTATTTCGCAATTATTAATCCAAACTCCGATAGCTGCAAACAACACATGGTAGCTTTTCTTGTTTAAACACTTTTTTTAATCTTGTGTTTTATATTGAGACAATAATTACTGCTTGTATACACCATGTGGCTTGATCGTCTCGTGAATTTCACCTAATGCAGACGACTGACAGGATTAGTTACGGCTCAATGCACATGACACCTGTGATTGTTAACCGTCAACTTTAGGGTACTAGATTATGCAACTGTTTGTTTTAGCTTAAAATATAAACACCAAATTAATTTTGATGGCAGTTAATTAGAAGCGTATTTTAGAATATGGCTTGGATGCATTTATTATCATTATCTATATATTTAAATATTTTAATAGATCGCATAAAACGTCTGTTAGAATAAAGATTTGTATTGTTGTTTGGGTGGACTGACACTGCATTAATTCATTTCAATTGGTATTCGAAATATTTTTACAAAAACTAACTAAAAGATAGTAGTTTAATTAAGCTTAATAGCTTAATACCAGTTCTCATACAGCTTTGATCAATATGTCTTAATGAATTTATAAACATAAACATGACAGCGTTCTGATAATTCATAAAGTTTAGTGATCGGACCCCGTAAATAAATTTTTGCGGTATAGTGCAACCGCAGAAATTGAAAACGCAGAAATTAATTTGCTACCTTTTAGGGGTTAAATCGCAAAAATTTCCAACCGCAGAAAATACCCGTTATACGGTATTTCTTTTCTAAAATAAAAGGTATGATAATGGAAATATTTTATAAAAAGACAGGAAAAAAATTCCAGGAAATGTGATTAATGTAATACTATGTTGAAAAGATTGCAACAATCAGTACTGAAAAAAAAATGATTATGACCCAAAAGATACCTGGGCTGCATTCAATATCATGGCAGCTAGGTGGTAGATATCTTTCTCTACTGAACAGACAGCTAACCTAGCCGCTAAGTTTTAAAATTTGGATAAAAATATATCAATAAAAACTTATCTTTGGAACAAAATGAGTTTATTTCAACATGTTCAAGTGAAAATATAAATGTAAATTTACATTTAATTCACTAAGATGTAGAAAACAATCCTCCTTGTGTGCTGCAAAGTGGTAACTAAGGAGGCCATCTTGGATTTGGTACTAGCATCAAATATTTATGCTAACTCTCCCTATGTAGTGGCTTGGCTAGCTTAACATTCAAGATTGTAGTTTTACATACAGGCCGGCTACATAGCCGCTACACTCTTGAACGAAACCCTGCTATGCTTGCTGTTGCAATGAAAGACAGGTTACCAAAAATTAAGGCACAGCTTCAGTAAGTGAGATCAGATTAGCAGATACCAGTGAGGTTGTATTCCTCTTTTTACTTAATACTGCAAAATTTTGCCCCATCACATTAAATTAAATTTTATCCCCATGTACATAAATTCATTCATTGGCAAAACAGTTTCAATAAGTATGAATTATAATAAACTTTTTCTTGAATATAAGCTCAGGTTTAAATTCACCAACTGAGAGATGAAATGAATTGAGTTATAAAAAAACATTTACAAATGAAAATATCCCTGTATATGGAATGAATGTACATGTGCATGGCACAAATCTTGATGTGCTATATTTGTTACAATGTTTCAATAAAGATGACAGAATTTACCATCATATAGCACCACCCTCTTGTCCTTCACCTGCTCATTCTTGACCTTGAGGTCACCGCCCAGTTTAAAGCTGGTGGGATGTTTGGTCATCGTAACTTTTAGGTTCTGAAAAAGTCAATTTTAATACACATTTTTTTTTAAATTTGCCTGTGGAATTACTGGATATTAATTTAATCCAAACATTGTATTGTTTCTATACTGGAAGACAGAATCAATATAAAGGAGCTTCAATAACATCACAGGTGGTGAGGATTTCTTGTCACTTGAAGCCTCGACTAAAATAAGTCAAGGAACCAGCATGTTCACTTGTTAGACATTCAGTCAGAGGGAAATTTTTACAATTTTTACAAACTTAATATATCAATAAGTAGGAAATTAATATTTTTTTATAAATGTAGTTAATACTGCAGTACTCTTGAACTCTTGAGTAAACATATCAGAATTTACAAATCTTGTTGTGTGTCAATTTAATTTCTCACCTGTATGATAACTTACCTGTAATGTCCCTCTGTCAGCCATTTTTCTGATATCTTCTGCTCCCCAGAAAGCACCACTAGGCACATAAAGGCCATGTCTAATGGCCGCTCCCCGTAAACTGGTCTCCAGCTCCTGGGAACTGAGGGCAGTAGGGCTACCAATCTGTGAGATGAAAATATCATGTCAGATTAATATTACAATGAAAACCTATTGATGTCGAAAGTAAAATCTCAAAAATGTTATATATTTTTTTGTAAGATTGAATCAGCATATCCTAATTGTTTCCAGATGCTTTTTTAAAAACTCTTTAATGCATGTCAGTTTTGTCACATCTTCTTTATGACAGAAATAAAAGTCAACAGTAAAAGAACTGACTGAATTTCCTGATACTGAAATTAAATGGACAAAAACTGGTATATACATTATTTGGTCATTAAACTTCATAGTTCAGAGGAATGCAGGAGATGTAAGACAGACCATGAAATCAGCCTCCTCCAGAAACCTGGGTCCCCACTCTTTTGTGATGTCGGGGTGGGCCACCTCTACAATTAGGTTGGCATTTCTGAAAGAGAAACAACAGTGAGTTTATCTTAAATGTATACTTATACAATACCTAGGGATAATTGAAGGATAGTAAATAATTTTATTCTCATTTGTCCATTAGGCAAGTAAGATTCTAAAATTTCGGGTTTCCTGAATGCAATATTTCACTAATTAGAAAAAATCATTTAATTAGACACCTGAAATCAAAAACATGTAAAAACAGACAATCAAACAGTTAAATTTAGGTCTCAGTGGTTGAGTTATTTATGTTGCTGGCGCAGTATGCCAGGGGTCCTGGATTTCAATCCTGTTTGAGTCTTTGAGTTTTTTTTTTTACTAGTTGTATATACTGCAGAAACAGCTGAAATACTGAGAAGTACTGTATGCTGTTCCTAATATTGACTGATTTGGGACAGTCACTTCTTGTACCTTTTGCTGAAGTCCTTGAGATCCTGTAGGATGAGATCCTGCTTTAATCCTTCCAGGGCAGCTGGTGATCTATTCCATACAAAGGCAAGGTCAAGGTCAGGGTGTTCCTGAATCTTCTCTGCAAGGTATTTTCCTAGAAACATACAGGTAACATGTAACTACATGTAAAAAACATAGAGTTAACATACCACTAACAAACATACAGATAACATACCACTAACAAACATACAGATACCATACCACTTACAGACATACAGTTAACATACCACTAACAAACATACAGATAACATACCACTTACAGACATACAGTTAACATACCACTAACAAACATACAGTTAACATACCACTTACAGACATACAGATAACATACCACTAACAAACATACAGATAACATACCACTTACAAACAAACCACTAACAAACATACAGATAACATACCACTAACAAACATACAGATAACATACCACTTACAGACATAAAGTTAACATACCACTAACAATCATACAGATACATACCACTTACAGACATACAGTTAACATACCACTAACAAACATACAGTTAACATTCCACTAACAAACATACAGTTAACATACCACTTACAAACATACCACTAACAAACATACAGATAACATACCACTAACAAACATACAGATAACACACCACTAACAAACATAAAGATAACATACCACTTACAAACATACCACTAACAAACATAAAGATAACATACCACTAACAAACATACAGTTAAGATACCACTTACAAACATACAGATAACGTACCACTAACAAACAAACAGATAACATACCACTAACAAACATAGAGATAACATACCACTTACAAACATACAGTTAAGATACCAATTACAAACATACAGATAACGTACCACTAACAAACATACAGATAACATACCACTAACAAACATAGAGATAACATACCACTAACAAACATACAGTTAACATACCACTAACAAACATACAGATAACGTACCACTAACAAACATACAGTTAACATACCACTTACAAACATACAGTTAACATACCACTTACAGACATACAGTTAAGATACTACTTACAAACATACAGTTAAGATACCACTTACAAACATAGAGATAACATACCACTAACACACATAGAGATAACATACCACTTACAAACATACAGTTAAGATACCACTTACAAACATACAGATAACGTACCACTAACAAACATACAGTTAACATACCACTAACAAACATACAGATAACGTACCACTAACAAACATACAGTTAACATACCACTTACAAACATACAGTTAACATACCACTTACAGACATACAGTTAAGATACCACTTACAAACATACAGTTAAGATACCACTTACAAACATAGAGATAACATGCCACTAACACACATAGAGATAACATACCACTTACAAACATACAGTTAAGATACCACTTACAAACATACAGATAACGTACCACTAACAAACATACAGTTAACATACCACTTACAAACATACCACTAACAAACATACAGTTAACATACCACTTACAAACATACCACTAACAAACATACAGTTAACATACCACTTACAAACATACCACTAACAAACATACAGTTAACATACCACTAACAAACATACAGTTAACATACCACTTACAAACATACAGATAACACACCACTAACAAACATAAAGATAACATACCACTTACAAACATAGAGATAACATGCCACTAACAAACATACAGTTAACATACCACTTACTAATAGCGAGTGCAGCGAGCTCAATAGACTAACGTGTAAGAACAGAGAAAATTCGGAATGAAATCTGTACATACGTCAGGCAAATTTTCTGGTGCAACATTCCCAGAATTCCTTCGCTACCAGGGTTCCATGCGAAATTCTTACAAAACATACAAAAGATCAAGGATAATTATTCATTACCGAGAGATACGTTTACTTTTCTTTCTTTGCAAAGAGCTTAAAAGAAATATAAAATAATTACATCTACTCCACAATGTATTTCGTTTATTATTGCACAAGATCTCTAGTCTCCTTCAACCAAACGCTCGGCTGTCTCCGTAAATTCCGACGTCATGTGACGTCACAGTCTAGGCTGTGTCTCGTGCCGTTTGACGTTTGAAGAGGCGGAACGTTACAAGTGTAAACTGCTATAGATAGCTTTTTGATTATACAACTGCGCTCGTCCCAACGGTCACACCGTAAAACATATTATACAGATATCATACCACTAACAAACATACAGATAACATACCACTTACAAATATACAGATAACATACCACTAACAAACATACAGATAACATACCAATAACAAACATACAGTTAACATACCACTAACAAACATACAGATAACATACCACTAACAAACATACAGATAACATACCAATAACAAACATACAGATAACATACCACTAACAAACATACAGTTAACATACCACTTTCAGACATACAGATATCATACCACTAACAAACATACAGATAACATACCACTAACAAACATACAGATAACATACCACTAACAAACATACAGATAACATACCACTAACAAACATACAGATAACATGCCACTAACAAACATAAAGATAACATGCCACTAACAAACATACAGATAACATACCACTAACAAACATACAGATAACATGCCACTAACAAACATACAGATAACATGCCACTAACAAACATACAGATAACATACCACAAACAAACATACAGATAACATACCAATAACAAACATACAGATAACATACCAGTAACAAAGAAACAGATAACATACCACTAACAAACATACAGATAACATACCACTTACAAACATACAGATAACATACCACTAACAAACATACAGATAACATACCAATTACAAACATACAGATAACATACCAGTAACAAACATAAGGTAATATCAGATCAAAGGAGAAAATTTATACGCTTTATGTCGCGTTTGATCTGATGATCTAGGCCTGTCAACTCGAAGCCAAAATTTCAAAACTCTTTGGACCAAGTTACTTTTTCATTAATATATCTGTATACATGTAGTATTTTCAACAACCTTAGAATTTAGTGTAAACATAGTCCAGAGATGATTTGACACAATCATTAATTAACCCTATAGGCAGCTTGATTAGCATTTCTAAGCATGTATTCTAATTTTGGTGATATTCATGAATATACTTACACAGGGTTTTTTTCCAAATGCCCCAAAATATGATCACTTGAAAATGCCCAGGGGTGTATTTAATCAGAATTTTCTTTGTGTATATGTGCGTTAAGAAGTGGAGGAGGGGATCTGATTGATTTTAACCTTATAAGATAATGTCATACCTTGATTTACACATTAAAGTGTTGTAATTCCTTTTGCAATTTATAAACAGAATGATTTGGTTCAAATGCTGCTAAGGATGGTCTTGAACCTGTTCAGGCTTATTGAATTATACTACATACATATACCACACAGCAGTCTGGGATAATAAAGTCGGACTCAAATGGTACTTCTGAAAACCCAGTTCTCTACTTATTTTGTTAAACTGAAGCAATAATAACCATGGCTATCATGTTACCTAAATGTCCGTATCCCACGATTCCAACACGTCTCATTTTTTTAACACGTGCACGCTCAGCTGTCACACTATGCAGATCTTACCAAATGAGGGATATTTTCTGGCAACGACTTGGAACTCGGGCATAAATGTGACTTATTTTTTTATATAATACTTAAGAAATATTTTTTTACATCTGCAAACAGTGTCGTTAATTTAAAAGTACATAAAGACATCTAATCTCTCTATTCTCTCATAAAAGGAAATTCGAACTGAATAGACGATATATAACCCGTAAAACCGAGCACGGTCGGATTCACTAATGACGGTAAAGGGATTGGGGGGGGGGGGGGGGCTGGTCAAGAGGAATCTCAGAGACTTTAAATAGGAAGAGAAATATATTCATTTAAGCAGTAAAACAACTTAATAACGGGTAGGCTTAAGAATTAAAATTCTATATCATATCATAAAGATAGTTATTTGCTGCCCCCCCCCCTCCCCCGCGGACCCCACGTGGTATCGGTGAGGCGATAAGGTAAGGGGTGTTTACTTAACTACATGTAAAGAGTCCGTCTACAAAGAATATTTTGCTCTCTCCTACTATGTACATAGATGTTCATTTATTGCAGGCCGATATAGGAATCAGAAATTTATTGACAAGCAAAGAAAGTCATCCGATATTCAGTGAAACAAGGGGGAGGGGGTAGTCGAAATAAGCATTAGTTTACACTGTAGGTATATATATCTAAAATAGTGCCCCCTCCCAGCTCCTATGGGTCAGAAATGTCAATTTAAGCTGCATTTTCAGACAACAACACTTAAATACAAAAAAAATGAAATATTTTCATTTTTACTAAATAATATTAAATTAAATACACAAAAGTGAACTGTCTTCTCTCTGTTTAAGAGTAGTGATCTCCCGACAATGAGGAGCGTATTGTCTCGTTCGCTTGATAGGTCGATAAATCCATCTACTCTATAGAACACTGCACTAACACAGAACCCCTACCAATTAACTAGATGTTAACAAAACCGATTTTTTCGGATTTTTACACACTATGACAGAGAGGGAAATATCTTGATGCAATTTAGATTAAGATTTTCCTGAAAATTTTTAGATCCGACAGGAACTAACATACATGTAAGATCGGCAAGGTTAGTATCTGTTTTAATAATTTTTCCTCTTTTTTTAACGGGGGTTGGGTTGGGGTTAGACGCTGTTGAGATGAAAAAAGTTTCTAGTATATTGAGCAGAATATTGCAATATCGCATTTGATTGGAAGAAAGCTTGAATCTGACATTATATTTGGCATATCAGAGAGATTTTTCAGTGATCAGACTGATTTGACCATAGTTTTTTTTTTATACAAAATATTTCTAACAATTAATGTATATATTCATTGTTCTGCAGGCGTAGTTGGACTAAATACTATACTTGTATTTGTATTCTTCTCTTCAAAAGGGGACATATGTTCGCCCCCCTTTTGCTCGAGCCCTTAAGACTAGATCTGCCACTGGTTCAAAACTATTAATGGCAGTTAGTGCAGAAACTGCATGGACCATATTCCAAGTTTGTTATATAAAGGCCTGCCAAAGTGTTACAAATAGCACTGATTCAATTCATCGATTAACTTTCTAAAAAGTATCAATATTATTAATTCCCACCACTGTATGTATATAATGACTGTTTATGATTTCATTAGCCATTAAGAAACAATAAGTTTTGACACAAGTGGGAAGGATTGATGAAAATCAATGTTTCCCTGCATCTATAGACGTCATTATCTTTGTTAAGAGGGGTTTTTGATAACTAGTTGTTGTCCTCACCTAAAGGGAATCCAGCATTTGTACCTATACGTGCTTTCTTTTCAACGCTTAATCTCACGTCTTTATTTGGTAAAACACAACCATTACTCACAAAATGAGTTATTCTATGCGTGGTAAAAGAAAAATTGATGATTTTAAATGTATGCATTAATTTCTATAAAATTTCAGTTAACCCTTTTCATTTTTTGTACTGGACCGAAGTCTCTGAAATTACTCGGAATTCACACTGATGAAATACTATTGACATTGGTTTATTCATATTTTTTTTCTACAAAGAATATTAATAATTTCTCCACAATCACTCTGTTAGCGGACATTTAGACAGAGTCACAAGTACTTCATGGATATATATCTTCGCAGAGGGTATTGCAATTTAAATCTAGATATTTGGTATATATACCATGTATACATGTAATAAAATTACATTCTGAACATGATAATAATAAAATATGAAAATAATATTTGGCACAAAAAATTATAATTCAAATAGTGTTAATAATAATATACATGTAATTAAAAAGAAATCGGAATCAGTTAACTTTAGAAAACATACACATATTTGTGTGTACACCAAGGATAACCCATGTAAATAAAGCCAACGCTTAATTCCAATAAGATCCTTTAAGTTGTTAACTAGATGTTAAGTCAAGTTATATATTCTTTGATAAATGGGGATCAAGTTGACAGCACCGAGATTATTTACTGCAAGTAAGAAATTTTATTGTTTGTATTTATGTCTGTATAAATAATTATATAAAGTAGGTTTAAGTAAAGGTAAAATATTGTATTATTAATCTGTTTATCATTGTATAAGTAAGTTTCAATAATGGAAATATGAAATGGAAGAGCCCACTGCTTACTAGTAGCCTTGAAAAACTGATTCTAACCAGTTAAGGGTTAATGGATTGATTAAGGCAATTAAGCTTAAATGATTTTCATAAAAGAAAATATAATCAGTTTTAAAGATTGGCCAAGATCAAAGTTGGAATTACCAGCTTTTAAGATGGAAAACCAAAATTAAAGTGGGAAAAGCCAACTTTTTAAGTTGGAATTTCCAACCATATATATTGTATGCTATCCTGTTTTTTTTTTTTTTTTGTTTTTGTTTTTTTTGTTTTTGTTTTTTTTTTAATTTTCTTTTAACTTCCTTAAACAGTGTCAAAACTCTGCTCGCCGACTGGAAAACCCGTCTCACACCTAATAAACTAATATACGAGTTAGTCTTACTCGAAACATCAATGAAAGAATAAACTTTACTCTTAAGAGAAAGGGTCACCTTTTAGTCTTGTCCCAGGTTCCCTTGCACTTCATTACTGGGGATCATGGGACAAGACTATGGTGCACTTCCGTTTTGAATAAAATTCTTGTGCATATGGGGAAAATTCACCATGTGGCTGTATAAATGTTTGTATCTCGAAGTAAATGCATTAATAAAACTCCTTAGTACATAACATCCCATGAGGAATTAGATCACATGAAGCTATGAGTACACAGCAAACATAGTACTAGTCCGTTGAATCATGTTTGCTCAATTAGTTGTACGTTTGATGGATGCCTCACATATGGGATCAACTGTGACTGGCCGAAGCCGATCATAAAAATCAGGGAAGTGTCAGGACCAAACAATTTTGATTCGCTTTAAGCGTATTTGATTCGTTATATTCGTTTTTATACAGGGAACGACAAACGCTCCGCTGTAAGCGTGAATTCATCATAAGTTTGTTCGCTGCAACCGAGTTTTACCGTAGTCAGTTTGTTCTCTTATTGAGATGTGATAGGCCGAGAACGATTTCTAAACCATGATCTAAAGCATTCATTCAAAATGATACCACAAAATGCCTTTAGGAAATAGCATCAGAACTGTTTCTAAAAAATCCTCTTTTTCCCCCTTTTTCTTTCGATAAATTTCATTTTTGTGACGATTATAGTAATGAATTCCTAAAGCTTAACATCTTGAATCGACATGAGATAGTTCCTAATGAAATCTGTTTGAATAGAAGAGCGCTGTATGTTGGGGATAATTTTCATTGATTTCCACTCTAACACATTAACAAGCATTAACGCTCAGTGTAAAATATCAAACACCTTTCAAAGTATTTCAGAAAAGTGTCAATTTTTACCGTACAAATCGGTTGAGAAACGATATCAACGTGCCTCAGGTTTCCATTGCCTTGATTCCTGAAATAAAAATAGAACGGTCAAATCAAATCTGTTTACAATAATTGCTTTTCTAATACTCATCTGCCTGATTGTGCTGTTGTAAAAAATATAATGATTTAGAATCATTGATTCAGCATTTAGCTTTATTGCCTTAGGATAGAAGTATCAAGTGTTTATTTAATTATCAGCTATACCAGATTTTTTTTTACAACTGTTATCATTTTTGTTAACTGTAGTACACATATAGTCCTCTAACATTGAAAACCGAGGGAACGGTAGCCTTTACCCCAGCCTCCCGGTCTCTATAGCTGTGTATACGTATATCTGTCTAATCCATCAGCTAGTACTGTGTTCCCGATTTTTTGGGGAAGGGGGGGGGGTTGATATTTTATAAATAATCGCTTTCGCACTACTTGGAATTTACTGTACAAGAGGTTCTTTTTCTATAAAAAATTTTTAAATCATTGAAATGTTGAAAATATTATTTTGGACATATTGCTTCTTTGAGGGTAGAATAATGATAAGGAACACCTTTTTTTAATTTTCTTAATTTATTGTATACAGTTTTTATAATGAATATATTGTATACAGTTTCTATAACGAATTTATTGTTTACAGTTTCAATAAAGAATTTATTGTATTCAGTTTCTATAATGAATTTATGGTAGTCAGTTTCTATATTTTGTTGTATACAGTATTTCAATAATTAATCTGAAGTCGTAAGATATGAAGTGAAGTCAACTCCTCTAGAATTTTATTGGATTCGTAGTACTTAGCTTTTTTTTTTAAGATGTAGACGAAGTATTCAAAAAGTGTCATGTCTTAATTCTAAATGCTACTAGAAAGTACTTAATGTTTAATATAAAGCGTAAAATGTCACAGACTTATATTTGAAAATAAAATAATTCAAAGGCCGTTATTGCTACGACGCAACCATCAAATATTTCTAAAATTTACCCTATTTTCTTGAAAATGGGTTGAGTCATTTTGATTTTTTTTGGACAGGCTCTTGGTATTGTTCTTAAAAACAAACAACATTATCTGATAGAAAAGTGTATAGAGTTTATACGTTGACATTTAGTTCACAATCTGAACCAAAAACCAGGTTCATCTGTTGTGTTTTCTGCCATGTTTACAGAGGACAGTTAAAGTAGTACAGTAAAATTTTCATATTTATTACAGGTTATTCAAACTATGTATATTCTATTAATT